ATAGGTAAATTACATCGAACATCGCTCACACATCAATCAAAAAAATACCCAATTTTTTTTAAATGAAAAAAACAAACAAACCATGGAGAAGTTGACCTACAGATTACATAACTCTAATCACATACATCTTCTACAGACATTTATACATTGTAATAATATGTATTTTTCACATCAACATATTGGTGTATCTGTGCTCTAGGCAAACCTGAGATCCAAGCTTTAAGCTTATTTTTGAACATATTGATGCCAAAGATAGTTTTGATATGTGCTGGAATAAGATTATATAGCCGAGGAGCTAAGTAAGTATAACACTTTTGTAAAGTATTTTTCTCTGATTTTGGTACATAGGTTGAATTCATAAGTAAAGTTGCCTTATGTCTAAATCCAATGTTTCCTTATATAGCCCTTCTGTGGGGTAAGTTCATTTTTTATTTGTGATTATTTTCAGAGTTAATTTCCGAATTTGTTCTAAGATTTTCATATGAGAATTACTTGCTGCTCCCCAGGCAACTATCCCATAGGAGAGGTGAGTTTCAAACAAGGTATAGTATAGCATGAGCATTTGAGCTATATCTAGGTAGGATGTCATGTATTTCAATCTATATGTAACACTACGTAATTTTTTCACCAAATAGTCAATGTCAAGATACTTTATTTTATTTACTGAAGAAATAGTGAGACTCACATTATCATATTTTATAAGTAGTGAGTAGTGTGTATAAGTAGTAGTTATAATTCAATTGTCTAACAAAATATAATAGATAGATAGATTTTATTGATCCTTCTTGCTACATAATGTATAGATGGGATAGTTAAGTAATGAACTTGCATACAGATAAACATACAGAGGTATAAACAAACATACAAATACATTCTAGGTCTAGATAAAATGCAAGTAAAATAGGTTTCACAATAAAATGATTTTGTCCAGGCATCATATAAAATCCTATGTGATAATATCAATAATATATGTATATAAGTCCAGATGAGATGTAGTTGAAATACATTATATAATTAAAAAAAATATGAATCACCAGCTTGCTTAAAAACAATAAACAAGGAGAGGTAACAAGGACATTTTAAAATAAAGTTGTCAGAAGAAATAGGATCGCTCATTAATTACTTCAAGTGTAAATTCGTCTACTGTGTAAAATCCCTTTTCTGATAAACATTTCTATTTTTTTCAAGGTATGAGGAGACAGAATCTTCATATCATTTAGCAGTAGATTCAAATTCCGGCAAATTTAGAAGATTTTCATGTTTTGCCTGATGATGTTTTCGTGNTTGACTTATTTTTTATTGAGCCAATTCTGGAAGATTCTGCCAGAAGTCCATTAATCTTCTTGCCATTCAGGTGTTCAATCTTTGTTTGGCAAAACCTAAAGCGATTCCAATGAGAGGTTCTGGTCCGATGAAGCTGCTTGCAGCACCCTCCTTTGCAAGGGATTCAGCATCTTCATTGCCTTCCAGGCCAGTATGGGCAGTAATCCAGACCAGAGACAATCTGTTAAATCTTTCTATTGAGGAGAGTCGTTTTTGGAAATCTGATACCAATTTAGACGTCGCTGGGTAGGAGCCAAGAACTTCCACCGCCGCTTGACTGTCCAAGAATATCTTTGTTGACTTGTGTATGAGGTTGGATTCTTCCAATCTCTCCGCATAAGGTCCTAAGCAGGTTGATCTCTGTCCTGGGTCTGCGACTGAAAACACATGCACCAGAACCGGAAAGTGTTTTTGCTCCATATGTGAATCAACAACTATCTGCTCTTAATATTTCCTTCTCCCGGAGAATCCAGTCCTCTCTACTCGGGAACAGTACTTTATGAGGCAGTTGATAGTTGATAGTTAAAGGCATAGAGTCAGAGGTCATTTCCAGAATGCTGTGACAGTGTCAACCAACAGTCTGTCTGCAACAGTCTCTGCAATAAATTGATTTGTGCAATTGGCAATGCGCACACGTCTACATGCATGAGGAGGTAGATCTAGAAGGATCTCCATGGCCGCTGACGGTGACGCAATGACTCCTCCGACGAATACACTATGGATGATCACTTGGTGATTGAAACACGTTTCAAGGTGTTGAAAATAATGGTTTGGGGTTGAGATGAAATTCCAGTAATATTCATAGACTCCAGTGCATGAAATACACCGAATTGGAATACAAGTTTTTCATTCACTAGCCCAAAACAGTTTAAAAGTGTAAGTAATATCAATTATCCAGTAGAATTTTTTCGAATTAGAACAAAAAAATTGTGAAATATCCAAATCTCAAAAATAATTTTTCGTTCACTCCCACTAAATACCTACTTCTCTCTCTCTCTACATTGTGCATTGCTTCTCACTCGGGCGCAGTTGTCCATCCTCCTCCTCTCCTATCAAAGTTGACAAGAGCTTCGTCGGTGGGGGCGGATCGGGCGGAAGCAATGCTACAACTCCTTTTTTATCGAAATTTTTTATTATAAACAATTTTTTATTGAGACCGTATTGATTTTTTCCACATATCTTTCGTATAATTGATGCAATCCTATTCCCACGTGGACCTCCGGTCCAACCCGACCTCTATCCAGCGTGAATGGAGGTAACCGGCGTGAATGGAGGTGGGTGTTATGTATATCCACTTAAGCACTCCTACGTGGACATCTGGTCCACCCCGGCCTCCAATCGGCGTGAATAAGAGTGTTATTCATCTTAAAACACTCATAAGACTTTTCACAAAATACCTATTTTAATGGTGTCACGTTCTATGACGGCGGGCAGTCGTACAAAAACTGAGTTCCATCTCCAACAATGGCGTCCGCGTACGTTATCGGCACGACCGTCCACCACCATGTCGTACACAAACTGAGTTCCATCTCCAACAATAGCGTCCGCGTACGTTCTTTGTAGGCGGTCGTTATCGGCACGGCCGTCCACCACCATGTCAGAAACAAATACTCACTTAATTGTGTTTTATTCATTTTCTACGATATTTCACTTTTACGGAGTGAGGATTCCTCAGATAACAACAAGGAATACAGTTAGGGCTAAGAAAAATACCCATGCATCATCAATAAATACACGATGAAACAGATATAGCATCCTTTTCTTCTATGGAGGACGAAAAGATACCTCTTGATTGAAAGGTTAGCTTGTTCTGAGCAGTAACCACGTCAGCTCGTTATTATTACTTCGTCGCTTGCACAAATTCATGACGCATGTGAATTCTTTCGTTGTATCAACTGTATGATATTATAAATTATCGAGAGCGAATCAACAACATAATAAATCGTGATCCTATGCTCATCTCGCAAATTATTCGTAATCACGATGGCGGAATTGTTTCATAGCAACGTTTCATTAACGAGGAGGAGTTTGAATTCCACCTGCTCCAACCCTCGATGCTGATTGCGAACCTAAATCACAGTACAGTAAACCCTCGTCAAAATATGAAACACACCAAAGTCAACAACTTCATTATTTCAACTCAGCATACATACAAAATCAGACCTTGGTTTGATATGTACATTGAATGTACTTATTGGTGACCAACCAGGAGTGATTAATGACTGTCGTCAGTAGAGTTTGTGGCAACTTCCTCGTTCTATGGCTCGTGGGAAACGAAGTTGAATGGTAGAAATCAGTTGAGCGGAAAACTGAAATGAAAGTTCAACACGAATGACGTAGGAGAAGGGTATGTCCCTTATGTAATATCTGAATAGTTTTTTTAAAAATGGTGTAGCAGAATATGTTTTACAGTTGTGGAATTGGCCGCGGCGGTAGTGCGCCCGACTCACGATCGGAAGACCGTGGGTTCGATTCCTGCCTCGACCAGATATTTTTCTTGAGAGAATTTATCTGGTTGAAGCTGGGATGATTTTGCAACCGTGTTAGGAATCACACGTTTGAAAATAAGACCTCGTTAGTCCTTAGCTCGCACAAGTTTCTCAACTTCTGAGAGTTGTCGTTCGTGTAGGGGCGACAGCTGATTAACGGAAAAACAGATTTTAAACAGATTTTTTTAACAGATAGCAAGCTGAGGGAGTTTGTAGTGAAATTGCATGCATTCCACTACTTGGGTTTATGAAAATATAATAACTACACCCAGCTTGAATGTGTATAGGGGGTACCTAAGTGAACACTTCCTTAATAACCAACCATATTATTTTCCTTCCAATAATGTCAATATTTCAATAAGAGCGTTCCTTCTGTTCTTCACATAGATCATCAAGTTTTAAAGAAGACGGTCCAGATGCCTATAAAAAGTGTTAATACTCCTGTTGTATTCAAGTTACTCGCAGTCAAGTAGGTATATTAGTAACTGTTCATCATGCTGAACATAGCCATCAGATTTAAAATATATGTAATAACCAAATATACATTTTTCATCAAATGTCATATACCCCCAAAACAAGCACTGTTCCCAAACACCACAAATGCAACACTTTTATCTACGTGAGACTCACCAGCCAAGTTGTCATCCTCAGGATGAGCCGTTTCCTTAAATTTTCCCAGTTGGAATGGCAAGCTCTTGATTTGCGGAGGCATGGACGCACTATCAACGCTGGTGTTCCCCAGAGATCCATATCGTCTTCAACCTTCTTTTTACTGTATATCAACGACTTATATTGAAAAAAAACCACTTTGCTGACGACAGCACACTAACA